AGGACAGGGCGCGTCTCAAAGCGCACTCACACAGCCGTACGTTAGCTAGAAGACTCAGACACTGGCTGTAAATCAGACGCAGGAATAAGAGTAAATTGAAGCCGTATTAAAGCCTGGATCAGTATTTACAGCTCCACATATTGGCTTCAACATCTGAGATGAGACACTTCAGCACCTCTCTCTCTCTCTCTCTCTCTCTATCTTTGTGAAGATGCTTAAATATAAATGACATGTACACTATGTGGCCAAAAGTTTATGGACACATGACCATCACACCCATATGTGGTTTCCTCATTTTTTGTTTTTTAATAAACCTAATTTCTGTTTATTGCATAATTTCAGTTGTTTATGTATCCGCATTTTGCATGTATTACCTCATTGTGTATTTATCCTCATTTATATGTTTATTGCCTCATTGTAGCTGTTTACTTATCCTCATTTTTTTGTTGTTTATTTATCCTCATTTTTTTTGTTGTTTAATTATCCTCAGTTTTCTTCTTTGCTTATCCTTTTTTGCTGTTTACTTATCTTCATTTTTTGTTGTTTAATTATTCCTTTTTTGTTGTTTACTTATCCTCATTTTTTATTGTTTACTTTTCCGCATTTTTTATTTACTTATCCTAATTCTTTTGTGATTTACTCATCCTCATTTTTGTTGTTTATTTATCCTTGGTTTTGTTTATTGCTCCATTTTTTTGTTTACTTATCCCCATTTTTGCTGTTTACTTACGCTAATTTTTTGTTGCTTACTTATTCTTATTTTTGTTTATGATCTTTTTTGTTTATTTATTCACATTTTTGTTTTTTGTTTATTCTCATTTTCTTGTTTAATTATCCCTGTTTCGTTGTTTACTTATCCTCATTTTTGTTGTTTAATTATTCCTTTTTTGTTGTTTTCTTTCCCCATTTTTTGTTGTTTACTTATTCTAATTCTTTTGTTGTTTACTCATCCTCATTTTTTTGTTTACTTATCCTTGGTTTTGTTTATTGCCTCATTTTTTGTTGTTCACTTATCCCCATTTTTGTTGTTTACTTATGCTATTTTTTTGTTGTTTGCTCATCCTCATTTTTCGCTGTTTACTTATTCTTTTTTTTGTTTATGAACCTTTTTGTTGACTTATTCTCATTTTTGTTCATTGCCTCATTGTATTTTGTTTATTAATCCTCGTCTTGCACCTTGCTCTGTGGTAGATTTTTAGACTTCCGCCAGTTTGTTTAGAAATTCAGAATACAACGCAGTGTCTCGCTCCGCAGGATTTATTGCCGTTTTGCTTTATTTACAATGTAAATGTGTGCCTGTGTGTGTGTAGGAGTATTAATCCGTATCCTGTTACGGCTGCTTGGCGTTATTGCATTAGCATTATCGTGGCGACCTTTCCTGTGGGGGAAGCTGCGGAAATGTATAAGATTCTTTTCATGAACTATAGCACTGTAGGGACCCATAACATCGAGTCGAGGGACTAATACAAAGCAGCAGTCTGGGCAGGAGAAAGTTTTATGAGACATCTCTTTGACACCAGTGACATTATAATTTTAATATTTCTTGGAAAAACAGTTGCAGTTTTAGTCAAAGTACATATTTCTCAAACATCATTTCACAGATTCACCTTTTCACATAGACTGTATCATTCCAGAACCTGCCCTGGGGGGGATTGAAAAATAGAAAAATTGTGGCGTAAGAGGAATAAATTATAATATTTTTAATTATAACGTATACATCCTCCATAAGAAGCGTACTGGAATTAAGTACCATTACTTAAATACTTTGCAGCACTGATCAGAGATCGTCGGATTGTCTGTGGAGCAATTTACCAGCACAAAAATCTCAAAAATATGTCAGCTATAAAGAAAAAGATGAAAACTGATCAATAGAGACAAAAGAGCGATGAAAACAATATAAACAATACGGCAGCAAAACAGAACAAACTAGCCATTCTTTTTATAAAGTGCATGGTAGTTTGATGGCTGAAGGAAATGATCCGTATTGACAGATTGCTGCTGTTAGTTATCTCGTTCCACAGGAAAACAAGGACATGGAGTCACTCATGTGAAACAGCATTGTTATAGAGACCACTGGTGCGTGGATTGTTTTTATTTATTTATTTATTTTTTCCCCTGTGCTCGTATTTACACCCTACTCGAGGCTGAAATTAGTGCAGATACCTGTTTCAGCATGAGACAGTTGAAGCCTATTCATGTTTAAAGGTGCAATAAACATTTTCTTTATTTCTCACTTGTACAAATAACATGGAAAATATATAGAACATGATTAAAAATAATGGTTAAAGCCATGCCATTAACACAGGTGTATTATGTGGCTGAGAGAAAACCCATTCGGAAAAGTGTGTTAGGGCCCAAAGTGCTTGTTTGTGATTGCGCGAGGATTTCAAGAGTCATTTATAACTAGAGAAGGGTATGAAGCTAGACACAGACTTAGCGACATTGCTCCTGGACAGTTATATAAACACAATCTGTTTCACAAAGGCACTCGACCATTCTCGTAAATCAGTATGAGCCGAATTTCACGTGTTTATAGTGTAATAACTTGGCTTTCAAGCAGCTGAATGGCCAATCTTGTACCTTACAATGCTAAGAGTGCTAATACCAGAGCTTAAAAGCACTAAACCTCATAACAAATCAAAACAGGACAGTGAAGACACTCTTGCATCTTCTCATGAAGCATTATGAGCCCAATTTTGCGTGTTATAAAAAAAAAAAATGCGTGTTATAACTCAGGGGATGCCTGGAGGACTAGTGGTTAGGCCTCAGCGCTCTCAATGCCTTGGCCAGGGCTCAATTCCCAGCCAGGGAACCAACCCGCACATGACAATGCACTCCCAGTGCCAGTCCCAAGCCCAGATAAATCTGGGGAGGGTTGCATCAGGAAGGGCATCCAGCATTAAAAACTGTGCCAAATCAAATATGCAGACCGGCAACCCCTAACGGGAAACAGCTGAAGGAAGAAGAACAGCAACACAGAATCTGAATGTCTGAGTGCGCTAGAAAGTGATGTCAGGACAGTCTTTGCTAATAGTAAATCTAGTTAGCATGCTAACTCTAGTTGAACCACTGTAGGTTGTAAGGGCGGAGCTTTGTGTACATGGTTGGGAATGGAGGTGGGCTCAAGGAGTAAAAAAAGTCTTTAAAATCTTATTCAGCTCCATATATTTAGCTGTTAGAAACCTCATCTCGACCAGTGCTGACAAATCTTGCCTAATGCACCTTAATAAGTATAATAAGAGTGAAACCATTGCAATAAACAAAGCCGTTTTGTATTTTTATTCAGATGATTGACAGCTCTGTATTCATAAGTGAAACCATCCTGGGTGTAGATGATTGGTTAATGTGTGCAGTCGACTGCTGGAGTCACTTGAACATTTATTACACTCAAAAGTGATTTAAACTTTATATAATATGTATAAGGAACTACTCTCGTCATTCTTTCAGGGTTCTTCGCTTCGTCCCTCCAGTAGAACCTTTAGGAGGGGTTCCTTTCAGAAAAAGTTCCAAGTAGAACTCTGTTAAAAAGCTATAATTGATTAAAAAATACTTATAATTATTAAGTGAATGTTTCTGATGTCAGTGAAATCTGAGTGGTCAGGTGTTGATTAATTTTCTATAACTGACGCTGGTGCAAGAATGAGTTTATAGCTGCTACAGCATAAGTGATAACAGGAACTAACTTGTTTAGCAGACGTTGGACATTAAATGTAGCTATAAATGGATAAAAAGTATGTTATTTATTAATTAAGTAAAAATTTTAATTATTGGCATTGTTGTTGCTGTGGTAGAAGAGGAATAAAACACTTCAGGACATGCTGTTATTGGAAAATAATCAACTTTGGGGGTGGTAACTTTAACTCCGCTTCATATTGGGCCACATCACACCACCCCGTCGTTGATTAGTTTCCTATAACAGCACACCATGTTGTGTTTTATTCTTTATATATAGGATGTGCAATAAACATATAAAAAAGGTAAGCACAAACAAACAAATTTACATATTTACATTTATGTTTAAGGATATAAGAATTTGTGGTAAATATGAGAATAAAACAAACAAACCAAACAAACAAACAAAACAAATTTGTCTCACACAGAAGCTACATGAGTAATAGCTCCCCGTTGTGGAGCTATCTTTTTTCTGAACCCTTCTCCCTGTACATTGTTCCATTTCTCTCTCTCTCTCTCTCTCTCTCTCTCTCTCTCACACACACACACACAATTTCCCTCTACCTTTCTCTCTCTCTTTTGAACCCTGTGTTCAGTCCACAGTGTGTTAATCAATAAATAATCCCTCTTTCTTCTCTCTCTTCTCTTTGACGTTCTCCTGTTATCCAGGTTACCGACTGAGTCACGACAAACTGCTGGGGTGTGTGTGTGTATGTGTGTGTGAGAGAGAGAGGGAGAGAGAGGACCCCCTGTACCCCCTCCAAACCTGCAATGGTACGTCCCTATTATACCCCCATCACACTACTTAACAGTGGTAATTAAAATGTCACACTCATTTTCTTTCCTTTTTTTGTTTTTAATTTGTTGTTGGATTTTGACCGCTGTGTTTTGCCAAGTGTCCAATCTCATTTAGGGAAATGTGGGAGTTTAAATGGATTCTGTAAACCCCCTTTCATTTTCCCTGAACATCTGGTTTGCTAACAAACAGTTGACCAGCGATTTCACGATTATGACTTTTTTATACACAGCCCATCAGCGAAGGCCTCGTCTCATTCCAAATGGAAGTGTCTATACAGGCACAAACCCAAAGTGCCTTCTTCCCCTCGTCCCACATAGGAACGCATCCAACCTTGCAGCACTCGCTTACTCCCGAAGCAGCCTGGTCTGAGATGTCAGGCTTATTCAGTTTTAATGACTTTATGTAATTATGTATGAATAAAAAATCGGCAGTAATATTTTGGAGAGGCTGTAAAAGCACCAGAGGGCAGGAAGCTGCTGCTGGATCACTGCATCAAGCATCATCCTGTTGTACTTTTATTGTTATTTGTGGCTTGGTGCGTGTTTATGTGAGTGTATGGTGTGAGGGTGAGATTTGCATATGAATGTGTGTGTGTGTGTGTGTGTGTGTGTTTATTCGTGCTTGTGCTATGTGTAATGGTGTTTGTTTAACTCCAGGCCAAGGCATAATACAATATATATTCAAGAAGATATAATTACAAACAAAAGGCCGGTCTCAAATGGTGTCCTGAACCCTGCGGTCTGAATTTTGATGTGTCGTAACCATAACGACAAGTTAAAGTTAAATTAATAATGAAGGGCACTTGCAGGTGCAGTCTGTAACATTTCCATGTTTCTACACCTTTAACACGCCTTAAATAAACCGTCATTCACAGCATTGCCCTTCTGTAGATTTCTGTAAAGCTGCTTTGCGATAATGTCTGCTGTGAAAAATGCTATACGAATAAAACTGAATTGAAAAGTTTGTTTTGTTTGATCATTTCAAACTTTGGTTTACATTTTACCAGACAAAAAACAGACTCTGCCCCAGAGTTGCTCAGCTCTGCCCTCTTTCCCTTAAAAGGCAACCTACATAATTTCAACACAAAGAAAGGAAAGATTGTCAAATATCATCTATCTATCTATCTATCTATCTATCTATCTATCATTTAGTTAGTTAGTTAATCAGATAATTAGTTAGTTATCATATCATTTTCATTTCACCTCACAGGCAACAGAGACTGCCGCTTTAAGACACATTCAAATACTTGTTAGTGGTTAATTTTTTAATGTTTTATACTGATTAATTTCATAATATATAACATTTCTAAGATGTAAAGGCTTATCATGGTTTGCTAAGGACAGGGAAATTACATTTTAGCCCAAATTTTAGACCTTTCCACAAATTTTGGGTTTATGCACGAAATTCTGACATGTAAAATCCACTGAATATGACAATTTTTAAGATAACGATTTTTATATGGATTTCAATAAGCGCATTTTTCATCACTTTTTTAAGGTCACTTTAATATAAGATAGTGACACAGTAGCTTGTGGTGAAGTAGCTTGTGGTGGAAAAGGCTTTTAAGTAAAGAATAAAAGACAACAGGGAGTGCTGTTATAGAAAAATAATCAATGACTGGGTGGTGTGATGAAGCGGAGTTACTGTCTACACCCCAGAGTTGATTCTTTTCCTGTAACATCTTGTTTTGAAGTGTTTTATTCCTCTTATACCACAGCAATTTGCAACAAGTATATATTTTTTACTTATTAAAGAATGACATACATTTCATCCATTTATAGTTACAGTTAAGGTTGTGGAATGTACGCAAAGCAAGTTAGTTCCTGTTCTCACTTACGTTACAGCAGCTATAAACAGTCGCTCTCTCACCAGCCTCTCTTTCGTCACATTATCAAGAAGTGCAAGCTCCTCTGTCCTGAAGATGGCGGTGATGTAAAAGTGCCTGATGACATCATCTTGTCCCCCTGGTTCTCCTAGCTCTATCCAGTAAACTGCACATGGACAGTGGAGGACAAATATAGAAACACACACAGACACACACACACACGCCTCATGTTCCTACTCATCCGTTAGTTCATTAGGAAATTAATTATCCAAACAACATAATGACTTGATTGAAGTATTTTTAACTTTTATTATGTCACACTGGACGGGAATAAAATCTGCCTGATGAAAAATCAGGTTCAGGAGGAGAAAAAAGGATACATTTATATTTTATTAGAATAATATGAAAGTAATATCAAATTAATGTGACAGTAAAAGTCACATTAGTAACTACTAACATTAGTAGCACTTTTAATACATTTAAAAAGCAGGCCACAGTGTTTTACAATGTGATGTAAAAAAAAAAAGGTAAAAAATATAAAATAAAATATTAATATAATAATTAAATAAATAATAGCAGTGACAGACAATACTATAAAAATATAAACTGAAAAAATATATAATTAAAAAAATGTATAAAAATAAAATAAAGGTACAATAATTATAATAATATAAAAGTAATGCATCTTTAAAAGTAAGGCAAATAATTAAAGTTAGTTAAACGTGAAAATGAAAAAAGTATATTTTAATTTTATATTAATATTATTATATGTAATATTAAATGAAATATATTATGAATCATTTACATATTTATAAATTCTATTCAAATTAAAATATTAAATTCTTTATTCTTAAATATAATACTCATTATTTTAATTCTATGTATTACTTAAAAATAATGTTGCACTGTGCATGCTCTAATGGAGGATAATAAAAAAAATTTAATTAAAAATTTTCAGAGTCAAAGACAATCATACAGTCTTTTAAGGACAAAATCTTCAGACGGACTCACTCCAGCACACACTCCCATGATAATCCACTGCACCAGTGTTTGAATGCAAACGGTCCTCTAACACGGCACACTGATAAAAAAGCAATTAGTTAGCAGCAGCTTGAGCTGGGGCTCGGCTGCGGATCGCGAGCTCGGGACTTATCGGCGACTCCTGCGACCTCCTGGACTGGATTTGAAAGCAAGTCCTCGGGGGAGATTTCAGACTGAGCCGTGTGGTCATGATGATGGCAGGCTCAGTGTGGGATCCCTACTGGATCACTGAAAATAGCTCAGGGTTAAACCTGTGCTGGATCTGTGTTTCAGTGGAAGAAAAGAGTCGAGGCTCTTTGTGTGGATAAAAATAGCGGCGAAATTTACTTTTCCAAATCCTCATCTATTTGCACCTTTGGTTAAACATGGTTCGATGATAAAATGGCTCAGATCTGAAAAGCAAGCAAATGAAATCATAGCAAATGTGAGCAGAAATCAGTAACACCTGTACGTTAATTAATCATTTATATTAATC